AAAAAAAAAAAAAAAGGCACTATGGTTTCCTGCTTGCTCACTTCCTTAGACGCTTTAATCTGAAGTAGCACCTGCCATGTTGTGAGAACACATTAGACAGTGCTACAGAGAGGCTCACGTAGCAACAAAATGAGGCCTCATGACTACAACAGCCAGCTAGGAATTCAGGCCTCATGACAACAGCCATGTGAATGCATCATCATGGAAGCAGATCCTCCCTTCAAATGACCAGCTCCACAAGGGAGACCCCACGGGAGACCCTGAGCCGGTACCTTCCAGCTAAACCACCTCTGAATTCCTAACCTAACATAGTTTGCTAACAGAAACTATGAGGTAATAGATTAGACACGAGTCATTTAAAGCTACTAAGTTTTGATGTGATTTATTTCAGGGGAATAATCAATACAACATGCAACAGATAAGGCATCACTGTATGTTGACTAGGATATGACCAAAAAAAGGTTAAAACTCTGAAATGCAAAAAACAAGTGTTGGCAAAGATGTGGAAAAACAAAAATAAAAAAAAAAAACAAAAAAAACCCCTCTGTTGCACTGTTGGTGGGAATGCAAACTGGTGCAGCCACTGTGGAAAACAGTATGGAGGTTCCTTTAAAAATTAAAAATAGAACTACTCTTTGATCCAGTAATCACACTACTGGGTATTTACCCCAAGAATATAAAAACACTAATTTGAAAGGATTTATGCACTGCCTATGTTTATAGCAGCATTATTTACAATAGCCAAATTATAGAAGCAGTCCAAGTGTCCATCGATAGATGAATGGATAAAGAAGATGTGATACACACACATACACACATGCGCACACATCCATGTATAATGGAATATTACTCAGCCATAAAAAAGAATGAAATCTTGCCATTTGCAACAACAACATGGATGGTTCTAGAGAGTATAATACTAAGTAAAATAAGTCTGTTAGAGAAAGACAAACACCATATGATTTCATACATATGTGGAATTTAAGAAACAAACCAAATGAACAAAAAACAAAGAAAAGAGACAAACCAAAAACTCTTAACTACAGACAACAGAGGGTTACCAATGGAGGTGAGTGGTGGAATGGTGAAATAGGTGAAAGGGATTAAGTGGTACACTTATGATGAGCACAGAGTAATGTACAGAATTGCTGAATCACTATACTGTACACCTGAAACTAATATAACACTGTATGTTAACTATAGTGGAATTAAAATTTTAAACTTAATTTAAAAAATAAGTTTCTAATTCTAAAAAATTTTCAAATTTCTAATTACAAAAACGAAAAATGGGGTGCTGTGTGGCTCAGTTA